AATATTTAAACAAGCGCCAGAGCTCTCCTAATTGACGGATTCGAATTTTTCATAAAGCGTTTGAAAGCTTGAGAGCCCTTCTATATGTGATTAAATTTTCAAGTATCTAAGGGCCTTGGTTTTTGCTGTGCAAAATTTTGAAAATTTGCAATTTTTTTTTCTAAATCTGGATTGTAAAATTATTATGCAAAATCTATCTAACCGATTTTGATGAAATTTGGTGTGATGATTCTACATAACATGAACTTCTTGAGCCAAGTATGAAGGTCATACATCCAACTTAAAGACCCCAAAAAAATTCCCTAAAAAGTAATGCTTTTTAACCCCAATTTTGGTGATTTTTTCGATTTTTACAATAATGATCATGATTCATTCGATTTGTAACTAGTCATATTACGTAAAATTTTATTACAGACATTTTTTCCTCTTCCATTTTTGCCTAAAATTAACTCTTGAAAAGATACGTAGTTAAATAAGAAGAAAAATATGACTTTTTTTGAATTTTTTTAACATATTGTGCCGCCAAAAGTTAAGCCCACGTTTTTTTTTGTGCGCATAGAAAAATTTTCATTTCTAGTGATATTTGAAAGCCAAAAAGCAAAAAATCACCGTGGATATACGATTCACCCAAATATGGACACTTTGAAACAGATATCGTCTGGACTATAATTACTAGTTTCGGTTTTAATTCGTAAGAAGAAATTTAAATAATTATTGCTTGTACCTCTGCGCTTTGCCAATATTACAAGGCCTCATTTTTCTTTTATAAAATCAAGAACACATGTGTACCACCCATTCCCTCAGACCTATCTATGACGACCGCTGCGTTTGACGTCAGAGCATATGACTAATCCGATCTTTTTTGCTTTTCGTACAAGTTTCAACTGGCCAAGTCGTTTAACGTACCCACAGGTGCGATCCCGCCTAAAAATTGGCGGGATGTTGGAGCAGGTACCCGAATGTGACTCACCTTGTGGCATCCCGCGTCTGTAACGATAAAAGAACAGCATTTTCCCAGAAAGTATTGTATTGGTTTATCGGTAAAATGTGTGCGAAGGCCGCTTTGACAATAGTACGCGTTTAGGAAACGACGAAAGCTGTTGCCATGCGGCTGTTAATTCGGCGTAAATAGCGTTTACGTGATGTAAATGTCAATACGAATAAAATAATTATAAACGATGAAGTAACTGTAGATAGGTAATGGTTTCAAATCATTTGTGGCAGTTACCAAAACCTCACTTTTTCATAATATTTACTATTTTCTTAAATGTCATCTCTGAAACTTTCTGTTTTTCGGGATACAGGGTGTTGAAATGTTAATAAAACAAGCGAAATTTTGTGTGTACGATACATGAACAATACAGTGTGTCCCAAATTGCGTACGCCAAACATGGAACATCTCAAAATAAGAAAGACTTCAAAATAAGTCGTTTCGTTTTCGAGAACAGAGTACTGAAATTTAAAAAAATTATATTTATTTAAATATCTCTTGAAATGGCGCAAATCAATGAAATTTGGGGTAAGGGCAACCAGTGCCGGAAATGCTGGGAGATTTCGTCAAAAAGAATCTCAAAATTTTGATGTCACTGAATATTTTCGAAATTGGATAAATGTATTTAATTCCGGTTGGCGTTTCGAAAAAAAGATGCAATCCATTTCATTCGAAGACTATCCTTCTGTAATTATTTTTTTAAATTTAAAATAAGTTTCTACATAGTTGAATAAATTGATTTTCAAATTAGAAAAAAGTTGTGTTTTTTTGTACCTGACAATATGCCGTTTAGAAAGTTTTAAAATTCCGGGTAGTTCCGGAAATATCCGAAAAAACCTGAAATTTTGCAAAATCGTTTTATTTTTTCTGGCATTATTTGAAAGCGAATTTTAAAAAAAATGCATATTTACAGTGCCACTTTTTTCGCTTTATCCAATGACTTCAACATTTTTGCAATCCGACATTTCGTCTTCGAAGGGCCATAATTTTTTTAAATACGTTGCTGCTGTTTTTATTTTGTAAAAAAGGTTTTTAGCTTGTTTTTTTTTTAATTTTTCCTGAGTACGGCCCTGAACTCTTTCAAAATATCTATTGGAGGAAGTCATAACAGTATGAAAGTCAGTACAGTATAAAATATCCAACATTTTTTAATAAATAATTTAAAAAAGTTGTACCTAATAAAAAAATAATACGAAATGTTTTATTATTTCTAATTAATATTGCTAAAAGTAGTAAAAAAAATGTTGGATATTTTGTGCTGTATTGATTTTTATACTGTTATGACTTCCTCCAACAGATATTTTGAAAGCGTTCAGTTGTATTCAGGAAAAATTTTAAATGGTAGCTAAAACAAGCTGAAACCCTTTTATCGTGATTACAAAAGTAATATCATCTAATTGAGAATTAAAAATGACTAGATATTGTCATAAAAATAGCAGCAACGTATTTGAAAAAATGAACCTGATGATGTCCCCTCGAAGACGAAACGTCGGATTGCAAAAATGTTGAAGCCATTGGATAGAGCGAAAAAAGTGGCAATGAAAATATACAATTTACTTTAAAATTCTTCGTATTCAAATAAAGCCAGAAAAAAAAAATAAAACGATTCTACAAAATTTCGGGTTTTTCCGGATATCTCCGGAAATACCCGGAATTATAAAACTTTCTAAACGGCATATTGTTAGGTATAAAAAACACAACTTCCTATTTCATTAAATATTTTCATTTTTTTACAGAAATAAAGAAAAAAATCGACAATACATTTAAAACTATTTGTTTAAAATAAATTATGCAATATGTTAGAAATATAATTTTTAAATATAATAAAGAAACTCAGAAACTAAAAAAAAATATTTGCATATCAATTTTAATTTTGGAGGATTTTCACCCATAAATTTTAAATTTTCCCGTGATTTGTTTGGACCTTTGACAATTGCGTTATATTTGACATTTAATTTTTAACAAATAATTCTATTACTTTTTTGTAAATGGAATAGTTTTGGAGTTATTTTAGATTTATTGAACTAGGTCAAAGGCTTACTTTAAATTAAAAAAATTTTTTATTCGAAAAAATGGAGAATTTTAGCCTTAAAAACAACAAAAGGTCTTAAATTCCAAGTGTACGAATTTTTGTCCTTAATTATCTTTATCAGTTTACGTTAAACATTTTATGTTATATTTAAATAAATGTTTCTTTCTTTTTTGTTATTTCAACACTGCCTCGAAAACAAACCGTATAATTAAAATATTTGCCATTAAACGAGGACAGAGGAACTTTCTGTTTTCTCATGACTTTAAATGAATTTAATGAAATGAAATTGAGATTTTTTCTGAAGAAAAGTGTAATGTGTCTGCTGACACAGCTATTGTCAGTAGTATATTTTTCAATTTTTTCATGCATGCAAGTCAAAACTATACTTGCACTGCCTCTTGTTTTTCTTATAGCTGTCATATAGGGTTTTTCTACGACATCTTTTTAACTAGTTTTCAGGGAAATCTTCAAAAGAATAATCGACTAATATGGCCTGTTAATATGCAACATTGAAATGAAATAACTGACTTTCAAATACAAACATTGTTTTTTACCGTATAATTTATTGCTTGGAAAATGGTTTTCTAAAAAGTTCTAAGTGGCTAATTGAATAGTTACCGTTTTTTTGGCTGCCCAAGTGTTCAGCCCTGAATTCTCACCCTGCACAACCACCTGTAGCGAACGCCTAAACCTGAAAATGTAAAATAGCTTGTTCGGCGGTCCCACGGCTCTCAGCAGACCGTAACTTGTGGTGGAATAAGAGATATCTCTTACAGATATCGCAATAACGTGATTAAATTACTCCTTTTGGACTGCGACTTGTGTAACTGCATCATTATGTGGGGCACGATTGTGAGAAATGAGGTTTCTTTATTTATTTTAATAAGACGTTTGATTCGCATAGAAACAGCGGTGTCCGAGGTATTTCTCTATTACCGTCTATTTATTCATACGCTTCGGCATTCAGGTATCTTTGGATTGCGTTCTTTCTCGCTTTGAACTAATTTTTCAGTATGAAATTGCTAAAGCTAAAAACATACCTGTCTGCAAACTATTCTCTTGTTATTTCTTCGCTTTATAAAACGTAAATATTATTTTGTTATACCTAGCTATAGTTAAATTATATTTTTTTTACAATTTTTTTCAAAAGTTTGACGCAAGATACTTAGTAACGTAAGTTAACTTTTCTTTATTTATTTCTGGAACTGAAGACAATTTTGACATGCTGACATTTTACTTGAAAAGAAACAATACACAATTATACAATCGAATACGAATGGCGTGGCAAGAAAACATATTTTTATGACATGACGCCACATCACGATGGTTGATAATAATGCACATTCCCATGTGAATCGTACGTATATTTATTTACAACTCGCTAGATTCTATTACGCGACACTTTCTCTTGAATTTTTAATTAATTGCGATTATTAATACCTGGAAATAAACGTATCTGCTTGCAATAAAGCTCGCATGTCAATTGTGCGCACATGTTTATCTACTCTTCGTTGTATCATGTGGGCAGAATTTTCAGTCTCACTGTTAGGTACAGATAAATCACTAGAAACTTCGGATAACATGAATAATTAGCAATAAATATATAACAAGCTTTAAATCACCGAGGTGATGATGCTGACACGCAGGAAGATTCCTGCTTTATCTTGTATCAACATGTCGAAAGTTATTGTGACGAACTACTGATTGTTAGAATAAATAAATAAATCATATAATCTCTCAGTATAGAAAACATTGAACTCGCGAAGATGCTTAATGTACCTCAAATCCGATATGCTGTTTTAGAGTGGTTTACTGTAGTTATGTTTCTGAAAGTAAAAATCAACTTCTCAGGATTAATATCAGTCTATTGAATTTCATGTGTCTATGTCCAAAATTAATGAAAAAGTATTTGAGTCATGTTGTTGTCGTTTGTGTTTTCCTTCTACGATTTATTAAATGTTTTTCTCTTTGTTTCAGATTTTTACCCATCCAGGAAAAATGTGCAATCTACGGACCTCCCAAAACAATCCAAAGAAAACTAAACCCTTTTAATTTTGACTTATTTATGTAAAGACTATATTAATGTAATATGTTACAGCACTATATCCAAAGTTATTTATTTTTAAAGATGAATACTTATTTAAATGTACTATATTCTGTTAATTATTATTAGTCTAGTCGTTCTCATAGATAGTATTGTAAATATAATTATTGTAATAATATGTACGCGTATTGAGAAAAGTACAACGTATCCTGAGATTGAAAATTATTTATTATCTAATGTGATAACGGAGCAGCGTTGGGTTGGCAATTATTAATTTATACGGGATGTATTTGAAAGAGACATTTGAATTTTTATACGCAAACGATCACACTTTGCTGCTCTTCTTAACAAATAAGAAAGATAAACCTAAAGACTCTTTATGTTCTGTTTAGTGTTGGGTATAAATTTATAAATGCCTGCACCTTTATCAGTACCTTTTGTAATTCGTAAATAATGTTTTATGCAGTGTAAATATCGCGTACCATAACTTAGCTACCATTAATGCGGATTGTTTATTTTCCAGTTCTTGTAAACTTCATTTAAGAGATTATGCATCTGAGTAATGGTGGTGTGATACAGTGACACTGTGGGAAGATTTAGATATCGTCCGGTCGGTAAAATGACGTAATTATTAGGGTTATATTACCTCAAAAAAAACATTAAATACAATAAGAATATAATTTTACTGCAAATAAACATATTTATGGTAAAGTTAATTATGTTGAACATTACTTGCCTTGTTTGTCAGGTAAATTTTGTCCTCATTTGGTCTGTTCCGTCTTATAAAATTGTTCAATGAATAATAGAAATATGCTAAAGAAAAATAAGCCTAAGCAAATTTTAATAAACTGCAAATATCTAATTCTGTTTTTCGATATTAAAGGAACAAGTTGTAAATATATTGTATATTTATAAAAATAAATTAAAATACCACAATTGGACCATGTATTATTTGACCACTCCATTATTTGCACTTTTTGCAGTATGTACGTTCGTCCTAGATAAAAACTTTATAGGAAAAACTCGCCTCAAAATTCACCAAAGAATACGAGGTTTCATGTAACCTGAAATGTAATACACTAGTAGATCATATAGGTAAGGTAGTTTCAACGTGGTCATAAACATGTGTTTCAATTACAGCGAACATTTCTGAGCTAGCAATTGAATTTGATTGAAGACGATGAGTGGAAAGAACGGCCAGATAAATATATAATGTTTTATAACCATTTTTGAGAAGAAAAAACATTGAAATGTTCCAATTTCGAAATAAAAGCTGAACTTACTTTGTAATGCGCTGAAAATGACTATTTTTTTTATATGTCATTACTTCCATGACATAACAAGATGGAAACTTACAGCTCTCTTTGATATGTTGTTCTTCATAAAGTTAATTATTACTAAACATTTTTTTATAAAAATTTGTCAAGAGTAATAGTTTTGTCAAGTACCATCATTATCTTCCTTGATACAAAATTTCACAAGAGAGAAAAAAAGATATGAGTAATTTTAACAAGCCATTTTCAAGCTACTGCTTCTTCATAAGAAGGTAATTGATAATTCATTCATTGTTCAGTTCATTGAACTTTTTAAGTTAATTTTGGCAAAGGAAAACCCTGCGATATCTAGTAAAATGTTAAATAACCCGTTATATTATCAGCCTTGAAGCCATAAGGAACATAATTTCATTAATTCCGTATTAGAAAAGTGCGAAATATTACTGTCTACGTATAGGTACGTAATAAAATTAACGGCAAAGTTAAACCAATTAAAAAATATTCCACACTTCCTTCCTATTACGCTCACATCACAATTATACGATAACCTTGTTGAGTTTGTTTTAACGAACATCTTTCCGTTGTTTTTATGAAAGAGGAACAACCCGTCGAAGCTTTGTTTGGTCAAAATACCATTATGTGGCCCCAGATCTTATCGTACCAAACATTAGGTTTGAATACGTTTTTATCTGTCATAATGGCTTTGCTGTGTAATTGCTGATTGAAGTTATTCTACATACGCTTGACAGCTTTGGAACACCTAGTTGCCTTATTAACGCGTGCAATTGTTGTGACAGTGGCGGTGTTGTGGAATATGTTATCGGTGGAACTTGCTTTTCTCTGTTAACGGTAATTGTGAGAGTTCGCGATGTCTGCCCGCAAAAGAAAATTACCATTGTCAAGCGTAAATTTTGTAGAATGGCGATAGAATAGTTGTAGGTAGACCCAAACTATTCTCCACGAGAAGCAGTAACATTTTCGACTATGTTTCGAAGATTTCCGAAGAAGTTTTTTACGAAACTCCCAGCCATCTGTTGTCGGCAGAGCAGCGTTGCTGAAATATAAAATTCACCTGGAAATTCTCTTTTCGTGTGTTGTATTTATAAAGGGGAACATCAAGTCATGTTTCTTACAAAAAATATATCTATACGTTCTACGAGTATAAACACAATAAAATAACAACAAATCTGCTGTAAATATGAAAAATTTGATTAAAAATGACCCAGCAAATTTTTCTGAGGTGATTGAACCAAGATTTAGAGCACGAAGTAATGAGTAAAGTACAACCAGTATATAGTTTGTAAAAAGGAATGATCGGTGGAAATAGTTCTCATTGTTTTTTTTTATTTTTGATTGGATGCTACTATACAGACGATGAAACCGACATTATTGTTACTGAAATGTTTAAACAACCATCCAAAATGCATAATGCATAAAGCTCTCGCTCATAAATACGGTTATTCATATCGTTTTATTAGCTTGAGGACCCATTGAACTGGGTGTACATTCGAATCTAGCAACAATAACAAAAAAACGGTCGCTATTACCTAAGCAAGTCTCAACTCGTAGTGGATACTGGTCATCACTCTTAATAAATGCGGCTGTTTGTGGAATAAGTCATCACCTCTACATCGGAATGAAGATGCAATTATAGCCGTGAGTCATCCTTTTACTTTCTTTCTCTAGATCGAACGCATGAACTCAGACAAAACACACCTACCCTGATCTATAACGTGACAAATCCTTCAGTTATGTGGACTACTGAGATGCAGTCTAGACAAACTGAAGTGGAAAATATTACGTAACGCCTACTGAGCGTGGCATGAATATTTATTGTAAATTTCATGTTGTCAATTAGACGTTGTATTTGTAGCAAAAAAATCCTATGAATTTTTTACGAATAGTTCTAGAGCTATTTTACATTTTGTGAATTAGTTATTAATTATCATTAATACGATAAAAAAAGGTAATAAATCGGAAATTAAAACACCACTAGAAAAGCCAGGATTTTCATAATATTCAGTAGCTTCGAATTTCTGGGATATTTAGTGAAAATTACTCTAAGTATCTTCGTCACTGTTCAGATTTATATCTGAACTTATATTCAGTTATAAACTCTTCAGAGATATTTTAGAAAAGGTATTTTTTAGTTTTAACACCCTATATAACAAAATGTTGTTATATTTTGGTTTTCTGGTTGGTTCTAAAGTTTCAACAGTTAAAAATGACATATTTGCACATCCTTTTAATTTTCTTAGATTTATACAAAGTTTTATGGGTATGTTTATTATAACACATAAGATACGGACAAGAAAGTGTAAAGAAAAACACCTGGTATCAAAATTCAACGAACATTTCCAATATCATGGTGCTGCAGCTGGCGATCACGAAAAATAATGATTGCTTTTGGCAAGGTTGATTAGCAGCTTCTGACTAAGCCAGAGCTTGATTTGTAGCCTCGGCACGAACACGTTCCATCTTAATGACATGGAATTCAATAAAAAAAGTTGTATTCATAATTTATTTAGTATTTATATATAGGTTATTGCTTCAAGTGACGTGTAAATTGTTTACGGATAAAAAATACGTTACTAGAATGAGATCATCGTCGTTAAATTTATTTAAATTGTCTAATATACCAGTTACTTCAATTCTGGGTTTGTTAAGGTCGCATGTGTTAGCCGGGGTGCCTGGTTAGAAAATTACACAGGTCAGGATATTTCGTTAATAACACCAGAACTAGCTTTGAAAAATTTATAAATATTTGAAATGAAATTTAGCCGCCATGCATCAGTTACTCTATTTCTGCATATAGACAAATTGAACGGTTCTATTAACATACGAGTTATACATAGATATGGAATGTAATTGTAAATTATTTGGGTGTTCATAAAAATTTCTGGGAACATTGTTTTTTTATTCTAAAATGCAATGATCTCTTTCCCTCATTATTATCTCCGATTGTTGTAAATAAATGGAATGTTGCAGAAACAAATTCTTTATTTTTATGCACTGCCTTGACCTGTGAAATGAAACGTAACCTCAATTTGTAACATTTCCGATAAGCACGACCATTCCAACTAAAACGCATAGGGGAAATGTGGGCAACATATAATATATAAACAGAATAAAACATTGATTCCCACAATATCATCAGTTTAAAACGGTAAAATACTCTTGAATACAAGCAGAATATTTTAGTAACTTTTTTCTATAAAATGAAAAACAAAAGAGTGATGGCTCGTTTCAACCCCATCCATGGATTTACTGTATTTTCCAACATAAAGCTCACTGCCCCGATTTGTCAGTCATATCTACGCCGCTGGATCATCGCTGATAAATAGGCTTAGTGCGGCGCGTAGTTTAACAGGACCGTAGTCAGATTACGAATGAAATATTACTGTTTACAGAAAATATGTCGCAACATAGTACTATTACCAAAGAGCAAGGCTAAATAGAGGATAAAATATAAATTTAAATGACCACTTACCCGATAAACCTTAGTGTTGAGACAAGGCTTCCGTGACATGTTGAAAGGAGCTAAAACATATTACTACGTGCTTTTCTAAGTTTTCTTTAGTGAAATGGCTACGTTTATCACTTAATATTAACTCGTGTAGGGAAAATGATCGTTCAACGTCTACTGTTGACAACTTACAGTTTGAGAAATTGTTGAGGCATGAACTACATATTAATATATTTGCTGGTAACTCCTTATGTACCAGATAAAACTTTACATATGTTTTCCAAAATGGTATAAACTGAACAGTTCAAAACGCGAGTCAGCTGTGAAGGCCACCGACCCTCACGCCGGCTCTGATAGACTCTGCACGTGCACTAAGCCTACTGATAAATCGTGTAAGTAGAATTTGTTATATTATTTGTTTGCTCACTGCAGTGATTCGACAATTGCAGTAAATGCAACTAAACCCTGTTTCATATTGTCAATGTTTACAATAAATTATTACTATCTCTACCAGTTTATCATCACTTTATTTTATGTGTTATCAAGGGACAAACGTTCTTTGATCGCCCAAATCAATGTTACTTATTTAGATAAGTTTAGTTACTTACATTGATAATATATTTATAAAACGGATAATTAGGAATACGCTCTTTTCTATCGAGCAATAGATAAGGATTGACACTTACGACTGCGATAACCTTGGCACTCCCAGCCGTGTCATTTCCGGTGCAATTAATTAATTAAACGCTCAATTCTAAGAGAGATTAACACTTATTTAATTAGTCCGCCAATTAACTTTTTAACTGGGCTTAACCTTTCACAGCGGCCATAATTTTTCGATTCTATAAACAAGCAAATGGGCAGTTGTGGACCGTAATTCGTTTAATTAAAGGACTATTTTTCTCCATCTCCATAAT